CATGGATAATATCACTCCCTTCCACATATTGCTTTAACATGTGGCAGCAAATGTTGGTTCCTGCACATATTGTTGGAAAAGTATAGACCCCTCATGTTGGAATCCACAGTTCTCAGACATGCCTCTGTAGTCATTTCTTATACTACATCCATTACTTATAGGCTTTCTACAGCATTCTCAGGAAGGTACACCAGGTGGCAGATATGTTTCTCCTAAGATGTATTGTTTCTCCTAACGGTCATTGCCCTGAACATATCCTTCACAACCAGCTGTTTAGCCTGGAATATTTTTTTTTCCTAGAGAGTAGGAAACTACACCCACCACTAAGTACATTTGAAATACAGATAAATAGTCATTATTCATAACTTCATATACAAAAATGATGCATACAAATAGGATAATTGTATTCAGCAAATTATAACTTTTCCAACTACATGAACTAGGAGTCACTAAATTAAATGAATAGGAAGCAGGTTTTAAACAAACAAAAGGAATTTTTTCTTCACGCAGTGCACAATAAATCAGTGGAACTCCTTGCCAGAGGATGTTGTGAAGACCAGGACTTTAAAAGGGTTCAAAAAAGAAGTAGCTAAATTCACGGAGGTTAGGATCATCAATACTTGTTAACCAGGTTGGGAAGGAATGTTGTCCTTAGCCTCTTTATGTCAGAGGCTGGACGTGGTTGAGAAGGGATAGATAATTGGTGATTCCCTGTTCTGTTCATTCCCTCTGTGGCATCTGGCATTGTCCATGGTCGACAGACAGGACACTGGGCTAAATAGACCTTTGGTCTGTCCCAGTATGGCTGTTCCTTTGTTGTTATGTTCTTATCTTACATAACTCATCTTGCACAAAATTCAATAGATAATTGGTGATTCCCTGTTCTGTTCATTCCCTCTGTGGCATCTGGCATTGTCCATGGTCGACAGACAGGACACTGGGCTAAATAGACCTTTGGTCTGTCCCAGTATGGCTGTTCCTTTGTTGTTATGTTCTTATCTTACATAACTCATCTTGCACAAAATTCATCAAAATTAACATAGAATCACAGGGCTGGAAGAGACCTCAGGAGGTCATCAAGTCCCGCCCCCTGCCCAAGGCAGGACCAATCCCAACTAAATCAACCCAGCCAGGGGTTTGTCAAGATGGGTCTTAAAACCTCTAGGGATGGAGATTCCTCCATCTCTCTAGGGAACCCATTCCAGTGCTTCACCACCCTCCTAGGAAAACAGTTTGTCCTAATATCCAAACTAGACCTCTCCCACTGTAACTTTGGACCATTGTTCCTCGTTCTGCCATCTGTCACTGCTGTGAACAGCCTCTCTCCATCTTCTTTGGATGTTGAAGGCTGCTATCAAATCCCCCCTCACTCTTCTCTTCTGAAAATTAAACAAACTCAAATCCCTCAGTCTCTCCTCATAGGTCATGTGCTCCAGCCCCTAATAATTTTGGTTGCCCTCCCCTGGACCCTCTCCAATGCATCCACATCCTTTCTCTAGTGGGGGGCCCAGAACTGGACACAGTACTCCAGGTGTGGCCTCTCCAGAGTCAAATAAAAGGGAATAATCACTTCTCTGGATCTGCTTGCAATGCTCCTCCTAATGCAACCTAATATGTCATTAGCCTTATTGGCTATATATCCAGCTTCTCATCCACTGTAATCCCCAGGTCCTTTTCTGCAGAACTGCTTCTTAGCCAGTCAGTCCCCAGCCTGTAACAGTGCTGGGACTCTTCTGTCCAAAGTGCAGGACTCTACACTTCTCCTTGTTGGACCTCATTAGATTTCTTTTGGCCCAATCCTCTAATTTGTCTAGGTCACTCTGGACCCTATCCTTGCCCTCCAACATATCTACCTCTCCCCCAACCATATTGTCATCAGCAAACTTTCTGAGGGTAAAATCCATTCCCTCATCCAGGTCACTAATAAAGATGTCAAACAAAACTGGTCCCAGAACAGATCCTTGGGGCACTCCGCTAGAAACCGACCACCCACCTGACAACAAGCCGTTGATCACTATCCGTTGGGCCCAACAGTCTAGCCAGCTTTCTATTCATCTTACAGTCCATGTATTCAATCCACACTTCCTTAACTTGTTGGCAGTATGTCATCATAATAGCACCATGAATAATATGGTGGGCAATGGTACACAAGGATCAATGTGTTGTTTTCCACTGGCAAAATGCCTGAAGCTACATAAAAATGAGAACAGTTTTGCACAAACCTGAGGTACAGTTGTGACACCAAGGCTGAAGTTCTGTGGCCTGCAGGGGAAAAGAGACCCTGACACCCATCCAAAGATGTTCGGGGTCAGGAAAAGTCCAAGCACAGGCTATGGAGGAACAGTGACAAAGAAAAAAATATTTTTAGCTGTGCTGCTTGCCTGTGCCTATATACCTCCTCCCTGTTCCCACAACCCCCAGTACCCACCTCCCGCCTTATGCCATAACCCTCAGCACTTCCTGCTTCTCCGAGACATCCTGCTACCTACCCCCATAATCCTCAGTGATGTCTGACTTCCTGTGTTCCTCTCTCTCTGCCCTGAAATACCCTGTGGTGACTTCTAGTCTGTAACATTCCCACCACTGTGGACTTGCAGCTCTGTCATACAGTGATACCTCTTCCAGGACCAGAACCAGGCACAAGACCCCACAGGGGCAGCTCACACACATATCTCCTCTGACCAGGGTCAACTCAGCATCTGCCTGCACTGGGGAAAAGGAGGAAAAGGTCTGCATGGGAGATGGTATCAAAGACAATCGGTTAACGTGAGGTCCATATTCCATTACAGTCTGAGACACCTCTTACCCCACGAGGCCACATTAATCTTTGGCCTGTGTATTAGGAAGAATGTCCATTCCCTATCTGACCTGTTTCCAGGACTCTGTGCCACTGTGATTAGATACTGCATGTCCCACTGTCCTATCTCTGCCCCGATACACACCATGGCTACATCTACACTGGCCCCAAATTCTGGAAAAGGGATGCAAAGCAGGTAAGTCAGAATAGGGAAATCCTGAAAGTAGGAATAAGAGATCCTCTGGAAAAGGGCTTTATTCCAAAGGATCGCGCCAGTCTAGATGCTTTTTTCCGGCTTTTCCCCAAGCCGGAAAAAAAGCGGCGGACATGTTTATTTAAAACCACGGGGGATATTTAAATCCCCCGCGGATTTTCCTATTCTGACTTACCCGCTTTGCATCCCTTTTCCGGAATTTGGGGCCAGTGTAGACGTAGCCCATGTGTTCCTGGACCTTCCACTTTCAGACTTCCCAACACAACATGGA